AGATAGATAGATAGATAGATAGATAGATAGATAGATAGATAGATAAATAGATGATGATATTTATCCCTGCGCTGCCTATTTTGGTACAAAATAAATGTCTTTATTGAGATTTGTGCGTTTCGATAGCCCAACTTTTCGTGTTTATCGTGTGACTGTATTAACCGTACATCAAGCTATGAGATGTATTGATGCGTTGACTTGATTGCATACAATGGGGCATGCTCAAAGTCAAATGTTCCTGCAGTTCATCGTGACTGGACCAAGAAGTGGTACTTTAGTCAAAACATGTCGCACAACGGCAATGGCAGCCACGAAGCTCAAATAAAATCTTGTGTGAGTTATTTGGATTCTGGACTAATCGTAACACCACGTGGGAGGAATCCAGAGTACTCATCACAAGCTTGGGTGGAAGATGCAAACCTCACAGAGGTAAACCCCAGCCAAAATTGGAACCTCTTGGCTCAACCACATGATCCATCGTCCACCCTGGCTGAGCTTCGTCTCTGCCAAGTGCTCATTTTGAGCGTATCATTTTTTTGGGTTGAGATTGCCGACATCCACTTATGAATGTACAGTCCTTAGCAATGTTTTGATAATAGATGACACTATCCAGTTAGAAAACAACAACAACAAAAAATGAAGCTTCCAAGTCCAACGCTCACAGGATCAGATGACCACGGTCCAGAAAGGAATTCGGAACATTTTTTTGCCTGTAGGCAGAATGTTGCGTGAGAAAGTTGTTAACAAGAACATATTTCTTTGGGTTTCGGTCAATCTCTCTGGTGTTTTCACGTGCAGTTATGTTCAAAGGTGGTTCTTTGAATGTGCTGTACAACTGGAGTCACCATAGAGCCACTTTCTGTGGTGCTGAAAAATGCCAAGGCCACCAGTCTGATGCATGTCTGAAATAACACATTTGCTTCGATCAACTTTAATTTGTTAGGATTAAAAAATGATATTTATTCATGTGAAGACATCTTCATGACTTCTCACAATAATTAGGAAACATATCTATAACACTTTATATGAATCTCTTCAAGTGTTTACATTTTTAAATGACCAAGGCCTAATCGACAAAATTCTTCGAAAATCACAATGTCCCATCGCTGGTAAGCTACGGTATTTTTAGAATAGGCCCCCGGACTATTCTTGTGGTCCTTGGGGGCTACCTGGCGACCGCCGACAGCACGCTGCCCACTCCAGCTGTTGATTCTCCTCCACATGAATATGAGTATGACCCCACTGTAGCTCATATCATTTCTCCCTGTAAGTGAAAATGAAATGGCTTTCAAAATCAGCTGACGCCATCGTAAATGCTGACACGCTCAGTGGGACTCGGAAATATTTTCTGTCACCTCATTGCATGTTGGGTTTCGTCACGTTACAGCCCCATAAATGTGACATGCAAGCTAACCTCAGAGCACATCTGCAAACAAATTACTGGCACCGCATTAAGTTTACAAGGATGAGGTTGGCAGAACATATCTTATGTTATGACCGCTATATCAGTCACTTCCTTTCAGACTTTACAAAGTATAGCAATATTCAAATTATGGATTTCTAGTTTGTAGTCTGCATCGTAATAATACCATATTACTGTGATTCTGAGGTCTTATGATGATAATATTAAGCGCAAATAATTGCTCTGCAGCTAGCCACTGTTTCGGCATCGATTGAAAAAAAGACCACCGGGCTGCCCTTGTGGACATTAAAACGTAAAAAAAAAATTTGCATTTAAGCGGTTATTACACAGAGCAGAGTGAGACATTTCAGACATGGTGTGTGCACAAAATGTGTGACCAGTCATAAGATTTTTGAATTTCGTTTTTCTGATAAATTTTCATCATGATCGAGTGAATCTATGAGAACATGAGAGCACTTCATATCGTCCTATGAGTTTAAGAGAAGCTCATGTGCTTCACTTTTACTGCTATTGTGTCGTAAAGACAAAAAAATTCTGGAAAGCAAGGTCAACGGTGTTGATAAATTTTTGCTGCCTTTTCCTGCTCAGAGAGTGAGTCACTTATCCCTTTCCAGCAGTCACAGTTTTACACGTGTATATGTGTCGAGTGTCCACTAGTGGAAAAGTCCCACTGCCACAGAGAAGAAAGCAGAGGTGAGGACTGTAAAAGACTTCTCTGTTCACACTCTGGTCTGCAGCTAGGCAACGCTGGCACTGAGAGGTGGCACATTTCTCTGACTGTTTTGAGCCTTTTGATTTCTGGCTAAGGCACGAAGTGGACAGGAAAACTAGCATCGATCATTCGTAGTTTTCATTAGGGCAACTTTCTCTATTTCACTGGGCTTGTTATTGAACGTCCATCAGACATCCCTCCATCCACCCACTTTCTGTGCCGCTTCTCCTCAAAGGGTCGCAGGTAGGCTGGATCCTTTTCGAAGCTGAGGGCAAAAGGTGAGCTTCGTTACTGAATCTTTGACATGTTTGACCCCGTCTCTAGTTAGTCAGCTTCAGACAGCAGGAATGAGCCAGACCGAGTGAGATTTGCTGCCACTTAAGTATCCTGCTTGTTGACATGCAGTAAAGTTGTGCAACATCATTCCTGAACATATGCTCAGAACTTTGACCCGGTTTATAGGTACAGTATAAAACCGAGATAAAATTTTCACTTGGACTGAAGAGTCGGCAGAGAGCCGAGAAGGAAGAAGAACGTGATCATGGCCACGTGGAGCACGACGGCGGGAGCCCTCCTGTTAATTCTTCATGCTGGTAAGAGAAAATGCTTAGTTGAACTATAGATCTATCCAGGAAACTCATATATAAGAAGTAACTTTATATGATGAAATTACAATCTAGGCATAGTTATTGCTGGATGGACAGCATAGCTTTCTGTGGCAGAGCTAGACTTTATTCTTGGGGTGGCCAAGGCTATCTCAGGGGGTCTGCGGAACAAAAACTTGGAAACACATTATGAACAATCAAAATCCATTTTTATATTGAATTAAATTCACACGCACGCATGCGGTTTGAAATATCTTCTGTAATGTCCTTCACATTGAGTAACTTGTTACTGTATGGCAGGGGTAGGGAACTCCGGTTCCTCGAGAGCCATATCCTGCCTGTTTTAGATCCAACCCTATTCCAACACACCTGATTCAAATCATCAGCTCATCAGCAAGCCCTGTAGAGGCCTGAAACAATCATGAACAGTTGAATCAGGTGTGTGTCTATGGCATATTGGTGCTGGGGCATTCAAGTTGCCTAGTTTATTGGAATGTGGGGTTTTTTTTGTTTCTTTTGTTTTTTAGTTTTTATGTTTTTTTTTTTAATCCAGCTAACAGTTGCAACATTTAGTAGTAAACGTTTTAAGGATAGGACATTTCAAATTTGAAGACTGGATGGCAATTCATTCTCAAGTTATGTGAACAGAAATTGACAAATGTCATATTACAAGACTGCATGAATGCACATTTAAAAAAAAACACCTTACTGTCATTCAGCGATCATTTCTTTGATAAATTTGCTAATTTAATAGTCATACATGCCAGGAAAACTGAATGTTCAAGTGCAACACTTGTTACAAAAAAAGTGAGAAAAAAAATGAGAGAAATAGTCACATACATTCAGGTGTAATTTGTGTTGTTTCTCTTGAGGAACCACTCATCACCAGTATCATATTTACAATTTGTAATGATTTTTTTTGTTCTTCCAGAATGAAACTTATTGTCTCTGTATCCTATTGAAGATATTTGTAGAATAACTGAGCCAGAATTACTACGCAGCCAAAGCTGCCATAGATTGAGTACCTGTAGTTCCCTTTAATCACGAAAAATGTTTTTCCCTTTTACCTAAAAATAATCAGACTTCTGTACCTTGTGACTTGTGTTTTTGGTGAAACTCTTGACATGCTCTGCAAACTAGCAAAGGAAATGATTCGTGAGGTTTAGTACATATGAACAAAACTGGCGTATCTCTGTCTGCTCAGTGTGCGGTCAAAGCAGCATCAGGTGGTGCACCATCTCGGACGCTGAGCAGAAAAAATGTGAGGCCATGTCCCAGGCTTTTGCCCAAGTCTCCATCCGGCCATCGCTCAGCTGCGTTCGTGGAACCACGGTGGAGAACTGCGTCCAAAAGCTCCAGGTTGGAAGCTGATTTATCGTTACACACAAAGGCTTTAATCCCCCACTTTTAAGCAATGGGACACCATACTGACTTCCTCTGTAATTTGGTGTTTGTAAAAGGTGCTATATGCCTGTTAAATAAATCCTTTTTGAGGTTTATGCCACAAAACCTAGCTGTCACTACATTTGGTAGCGTGTCAAAAAAAAAAAAACGGAATTGACCCTTTCATGCACAAATAATGATAACCTGCATCAGGATTTTTTTCTCGTGTTTTTATTAGTCTTTAGGCATGGGAAAAAAATAATGGCAGTGGATGGCAACACACATAAGCGTCCATTGTAGTAGTTGATGCACAACTGTGACATTAAGATTAATTAATGTAAGAGAAAACAACATTTGAATAGCTGTCCACTCTAGTAACCACTGTCCCTGAAAGGCTTGATTTTCAACGACACACTACATCGTTCGTCTATGCATTCGCTTGGTCTAGCTGTGTTGTTGTTTTTCATTATATGTTTATTTTCTGGCTTTGTCTGTAGAAAAACGAAGCTGATGCTTTGTCCATGTTTGCCTCTGACATCTACAACCTGGGCAAGAGTGCCTCATTCAAGATAGCTGCCAGTGAATCAAAGGCTGATCGTAAGATTGTTCATCTCCAGTGCATGCTCCCGTCATGTGGTTCAATCCCCTCATATCATTTTCACAAGATCAAAGGGTAAAATGAGTGCCATCGAGTGCCGTCTTTATCAGTTGTGTTTAAAGAAAGCACTTGACTACGTTGATAAGGTTCAGACAGGATCTGTGTCAAGGTATTCCTTTTAATAGTAAGATTTTTAAGAAACTGTTTCAACAAGCGGTGAACAACCTCCATCCTTCTTGAGTTATTAGATTGGTTTTTTTTTCCACTGATGGTGGCATATTTATCAATCATGTTGTTAGCCTTCGATTAGTGAGAACGTTTCTGCCCTGAGTCATTGCATGTGTTTATATACCTTCATGGATCTCACTGTTTACACTTTGTCACCTCAGGTACCGGGGCCTCTTACTTTGCAGTCGCCGTTGTAAAAAAGGTCAATTCTGGCATCAACATCAATAACCTGGCAGGGAAAAAGAGCTGCCACACTGGGAAAGGCCGAACAGCCGGATGGAAGATGCCCATCGGATATTTCATAGACCAGGGTTACATGTCAGTCATGGGCTGTGACTTCTCAAAGGGTAGGTTCATTGCATTGTTGAAAGAGCCCTCAGAACCATGCCTTGATATTTTCTATGTGTGTGTGTGTGTGTGTGTGTGTGTGTGTGTGTGTGTGTGTGTGTGTGTGTGTGTGTGTGTGTGTGTGGGCACGATCAGGTGTGGCACAGTTTTTTAATAGCAGCTGTGTTCCGGGAGCAAATGAGGCCGGCGATCCTGCGTCTCTGTGCAAGCTGTGCGCTGGCGATGTAAATGGACAACACAAATGTGAAGCGAGCAACAATGAACAATATTACAGCTATGAAGGAGCTTTCAGGTAACATACTGCGCCTCCGCAACATTAAAATGGTTTTATAAAGTAATGCTAAGAATTCATTTTGAGATTTCTGATAAGTCACAAAATAGCCTAAGTCAATATATATAGCAATGCAGTCAAAAGCCTCAATTTGAACACCCCAGAACGTTAATTATACTTGCTTGTCAAAGGACTCGGAAGTGGACTAAGTTATTTTATGAATTGACAGCGGCACAAAGTATCATCGTCTACATATTTCAAAATGCTGTGTTTGGCTGAAGTGCGCAAAAAGTTGCCCAAATGTTTTTTGATGATGATGTGGTGCTTTTAATATTAAAACATGATGACAATATTGTGGCAATTTTAAAATTGCAATTTCTCAATATTGCCATTAGGGTTACATCACTTCTGTCCATTGGTGTGAATGTAAATCAGGGGTGTCTCATTTTTGTCGTGGGCCACATTTTAGTTTGCGTTTCCCTTGGATGGCCGCTATGACTGAAACCAAATAAAAAAACTCAATAATAACGGTTTGTTCAACTATTGTTTAAGTTACTATAATGAGGGGTTTGGTTTACAAGAAAATGCTGACAATGTCTCTTATTTAATACATATGAAAATTTTAAATTTTGGTCGAGATTTTAGCAAGCATCATGGAGTTTGACATGTTTGATTTGCTTTCGCGGGACACATAAAATGATGTAAATGATTGTTTATAAATGAATGACTCCTATTCTGATTGGCCCCATTAGGTGTCTGGCTGAAGGCGCAGGAGATGTAGCTTTTATCAAACACACAACAGTTGAAGACAATACAGATGGTAAGGACTTACTTCATTTCCTCAGTGGCTATGTTACACAGAGTACTGAAAGACACCATGAGTTGTTCGGTCTGTAACCACTGATTTTTTTTTTTTTTTTCTCCAGGTCACGGCCCTGCCTGGGCACATAAATACAAATCAGCAGACTATGAGCTGTTGTGTCGTGATGGAAGAAGATTTCCCGTCAATGAGTGGAAGACTTGCAATCTGGTCCGCATCCCATCCCGCGGCATTGTGGTTGGCAATCACGTCACTCCCTCTGTAGTGTTTAACATGCTTTCTCAGGGACTGGTAAGTCCAAACATCTCACCCCATTACAGTAGCAACAGCCTGAAAGCACAGATCATTGATTAAAAATTGGGGTTTGCCTTTTGTATCGTTTGTTTATTGCCTGGGATTTTCACAAATGTTGACTATTTTATATATTGCAGGGTTGTCACAATTTGGGTTATAGAGGAATATTTCAAATGTGCTTGAATGTGTTGTTATTATACTCACTAACAGAAGCATACAGGCTTATAATAGTTAATACGTTGCTGAGTCTTAAAGGGATTGTTGCCAACGTCAGGTTTCACAAATGGTGTCGTGGCAGATTTTGAGTCTTGATGTCAGTGTTCCCTCAATTCGCACGCGGGAGCAATTGTGCACTGCTCTGACCCGCTTGGCACGCACGGTGAAGCGCGCACCACGCACACACATTACATTATTTCTACATACATTCATAAAATTATATATATATATATATAATAGCCCATTCGCCAAATTGCTAGGTTATTTACATTATTATCCACACCTACCCAGCAAGTGGGTTAGGAAAATAGCCCAGTTTTTATAAGGGCAGTGGTTCTTAACTGTTGTCACCGTGGGGCCCGCATCTATGTGTTGATACAGTCGTGACCCACTTTTATGAAATTTAAAAAAAAAAAAAAGTGTTTTTGTTTGTTTTGAAATAGCCCCTGAATATACAACCGATCCACTTTATCCTCACAAGGGTCACGGGAGGGTGGGAGACGAACAACCATCCGTGCTCACACTTACACCTAGGGACAATTTTGAGTGTTCAATCAGCCTGCCATGCATGTTTTTGGAATGTGGGAGGAAACCGGAGTACCCGGAGAAAACCCACGCAGGCCAGGGGAGAACATGCAAACTCCACACAGTGAGGCTGGAGCAGGGATCGAACCCACGACCTCTGCACTGTGAAGTCGATGCGCGAACCACTGGAACACCGGGCCGCCCTGTACAACATGTTGTATATTATATATATTTTGAAACGCTGTTTCAAATGAATTTGACTACAGCGCCAAAAGCATCTGACTACCTACTGTATGACATCCGCCAGCCAAAAGCTGAGCTGCACTTTGCTTGTTTCCTAAAGTGAGTAATATTTCCAGTCCCTTACCCACTTTGTAATATGTTCCACGCGGGAAGTTGGGATGCATCTGTGTTGTACTGAAAAATCTGAATACAAATACATGTACATTCGCACAAACTGCCAAGGCCAACCCACATTGCCTCCGCGGCCCACTTTGCTCTCATGTGTATTACTGAATAATGGTGATTCATCAGGACATTTGACACAAAATTATTCATTTGTGCTTCCTATCTGCAGGAGTCTGGATTCAACATGTTTTCCTCCAAGCCTTACGGTGAAGGAACGCTGCTCTTTTCGGAATCCTCCGTCACGTTTCAGAGCGCCGAGTATGACGACCCTAAGAAATGGATGGGTCAGCTCTATCATAATGCCATGAGTGCCATGGACTGTAAACCTCCAGGTACCGATGGCTTTTGTTTGTATCCATTTACACACATACGTGCTTGCCATGACTGACAGGAGCCGTAACAAGTCGGGAAATTAAATGTCTAGATGAAATTGCAGTTCAGCATCAAAGGTTTTACTCTGCGCGCGTGTTTTACTGTTTTCTGTAGCTGCTTTGGGGAGAGTGGGTGACAAAAAATACATGTTTCAAAATTGGGTGATAAGTGAAGAGACTACCTCCAGTGGTAACATAACTATATTGTCCATGTCTTAAAAAAAAAAATTAAAAAAAGCTTCCACAGAATGTGCCGATCTACCTACCTGTTTGCCTGTCGATGTATTAATAGAAAGCCCTTTGCGGTGGTGTGTGCTGTCGACGGGAGAGCAGCAGAAATGTGCTGCGATGGGCTCGGCCTTTCAAAATAAAGGCCTTACTCCGTCTGTCAACTGTATCTATGGTGACTCTGTGACAGACTGCATGGAGAAAATAAAGGTAAGGTGTTGAGATTAGCAACATTGTTGTCATTTTAAAACGGACTTCCAAATGTCTGAATTCAAATCACGAACTTGTACATGTATCACTTCCTTCTCAGAACAAGGAGGCTGATGCCATCACTCTGGATGGAGGTTATATCTTTACGGCTGGCAAGGACTATGGCTTGGTCCCCGCGACTGGAGAGAGCTACACAGGTACAAAGAAGACAGAGTGAAGCAAGAAGACATCGCCAAGCTACAACACAGATTAACAATGTCTTACGTTCTTCCAGCGGATCGGGATGGCTCCAACTATTATGCGGTTGCGGTGGTGAAAAAGAGTAGCTATGGCATCAGGAGTCTTGATGATCTGAAAGGCCTTCAGTCCTGTCACACTGGATTGGGGCGCACAGCTGGTTGGAACGTTCCCGTATCAACCCTGATAGAGAAAGGCCTGATCAGCCCTCAACATTGTCAGATAGCCCAAGGTCAGTGGCTGTAAAAGAAGTAAGAGCTGGTGGACCTCATGAAACAGCTCATTTTGCATGAATCATCTCTCACCACGTGAAAAAAGTCTCTGAATATTGTTATTATTCTTCCCCCCCCAATGGTACATAGCGGTGGGTGGGTTTTTCAAGCAGAGCTGTGTACCAGGTGCTAATCAGCCCGGTTTCCCGAGCAACCTGTGTGGCTTGTGTACTGGAGACAGCTTGGGGCAGAACAAATGTGAGAAAGGAAAGGACCTGTACGATGGATACGACGGTGCCTTCAGGTAAAAAAAAAAAATCATACCAAACCCGCTTCTTAATCGATACATTTGATTTTCTTCCCCATCATCGAATGATGGTTCTACACGGTGATTATAGTGGTCGAGCACGTCTGCTTCAGGTTCGAATGTCCGCTCATGTCCTCCTGTGTGAATTTTGCACCATGTTTCCGTGCTTGCGTGAGTTTTTTATCCGGGTACTCCGACTTCCCCCCACTTTCCAAAAACTTTCATGTTGGGTTCAATGAAGATTCTAAATTGCCCATAGGTGTGAGGAACCCTAATGAGAATAAGATATAGAAAGAATTTTAGGTTCTTAAGCCTAAAAAGCCTCATTTTGAAAGTAATAATCATAATTTGTTCCATGCAGGTGTCTGGCAACAGGTGGTGGAGATGTGGCTTTCATCAAGCATTCAACTGTGTTCCAAAATACTGATGGTATCAGCAGAATCTTTATCACCCAAATATTACATTTGAAATGAATCCTCACATGAAGCTTTTGTGTGGTTATCCAGGGAACTCTGATGAAATTTGGGCCAGAGATCTCCTGTCCAAAGACTTCCAGTTGCTTTGTCCGCATAGCACCAAAGCCGAGGTCACCCAGTATAAATACTGTCATCTGGCACGCGTTCCCTCCCATGCCGTTATGGTGCGGCCTGACACCAACATCCACGCAATCTATGGGCTCCTGGACAATGCACAGGTACCAGAGAATAAAGGTTGAAATATTTCATTTTCTCAAGGGAGTCTCTTAACTGCAATTTACAGTGCAACTCTGTATGACACTTAAAGGGAGTTCATCTGTCACAAGTGAGGAATAGGAATAGAGATTTTTTTTTTCTTTTTTAAATTCTGTGTTGTCTGACGTGGAGCTGCCATTTTCTACCCAAGCTTGTGTTTTGCTGAGCGCTCCCGTTTTTTTCTTTTCCCTTGACATGAATAATTAGGGATCCAAATTTCTCTGGCATGAATGTGAGTGTGGCTGGCTGTTTGCCTGTGGGTTTTCAATCTGTGAATAATTGGCAACCCCGTGTGCCATGCGCCTCCCTAAGTCAGCAGTGCGAGGCCTCAACTTCCCTGATAAGAACCCTGACAGATCATGAATGGATAACTTGCCCACATTAATTTCTGCGTCATTTTCAAATAACATGTCTTGCCTAATCAGTTTCATTGTCCTTTTTTTTTTTTTTTTTTTTTTTTACAGACATATTTTGGCAGCGACATGGGTACAGAGTTCCGGATGTTTGACTCGCAGGCATACAGGGGCACAGATCTTATCTTCAAAGACTCCACCGTACGCCTCGTGGGGGTAGGTGACAGAAAGACCTACCAGGAGTGGCTGGGCCAAAACTACTTGGACTCACTTATCAACATGGAGTGTAATGCATCGTGTGCAGGTAACCACATTGCTTACGACGATAATATTTAATTTTGATGTCTTAAAATGGCATTGTTACGAGTGTAATATGATGAATTTATCGTGTGATCTGTTCCGTGTCTTGTAGTGATTTCCTCGCTGTGGTTGGTCACCGTAGCGCTGCTCTGCTCTGTGTTGACAGCCATCTGAAAGTCAGCATACGCAACGTCTTCTCCCACTCCCTTCCTTCCCTCACCCTGTTCCCTTGTCCTAATCCTTCCATCACATAGCATTGGTGAAAAAAAACGGATCCCTCCTCCCACTGATGTAAACCTTTTCAAATGCTTTTATGGGGCCAAAAACGAAAAAGAAAATGAGTTTGTCTATACCACCTTGTTTACACCCAGGTGGCTCTGCTGTATCAGAGCAGGTAGGCCTCGATGTTTAATTTTTTTCTATAGTAGCTTCAGGGACAGTTTTGAATTATCCATCACTATTTAGCTTACAGAAGTGGTCTTCACCTAAATAACTGATCCCCCCTCCCGTCATGATGTGGCAATAGGTACCACAATGCAAACAAAACACTCCAGCTAAACAGAATTAGTTTTAACCAAATTGAAACACCCTTTGTGGATTGTCTCTTTTGCGACTCTCAATCCGTACCTCCTCTTTGTTCATGGTCTTTTTTTCTGTCAGAACTACATTCATGTGTATTTTCTTAAACCCAGAGATTTATTTTTATATGATGTTCAGATGCCATATCAGTGTATATGTACTGACTCATACTGTCAAAAATGAGTGCATTCTTTCTTCTGAACAGAGATTTTATTTCAAGTGTGAAATGATGAAACGTAACTAATATTTAGTTGCCAGGCCAGTGAGTCTGCACGGGTATTAAGTATCTTAGCCAGCTGTGTTGTGTCTCTTGCTACAATAAATTCTTAATGCATCAAAAGGCATTTGTGTGTGATGTTTTTCGTATCACGTGCCGGTACATATTTGATGGATACAGCCAGAGTGAACTTCGTTCATCGCCAGAGCTGCGCAATGATTGAGCGTAATAAATATGTAACCCTTGTGCTGCAATTTCTACGATGTTTGTAACACATGTGTTACCCCATATGTTACAATTTCTACAATTTTTGTAGATTTTTGCGTATTCTTCATCACGTCATCTTTAAATCAAAGACACAGCATAAAAAGTGTGTGATATGAAATATTCCAATTCATGTTTTATTTATATAGATTTATATTTATGTTTTGGTCATAGCACAATACCGCTTTTATTGTCCATAGAGGGCAGAAATACAAAGAAAAAAATAAGAACTATATGTGTATGTATAGCACTGATGCCACTGAACATGTCGAGTGGTTGAAAGTGAAATAAATATTCAGGAATAATACTTTTACAATTTTTGTAAAATTGTATGTTGCGTTATATAAACTTATTTAGAACGACTGCAGCACATGGGTTAATAGATAGACTGGAGGATATGTACTCTGAACTAGATTGGAACACATAATCATAGAAGGTACAAACAAATTCGACTTTCCATCTTCTTTGTTGCTTGTCCCAGGATGGGTCAACAGGATAGCTGGTGCTTGTCTGACTTTTGGCGAGAGGCGGATACACACTGAATGTATCCGGCTGGCATGTGAAGTGGTGACATGAGGCAAGAGCGAGGAGCTTCGACTCGCTGGACTTCTGTGCGGGCAACACGGATTGGTTCCCACTCAGTGATGGTGAACGTGTGGGTGTGAATGGTCGTTTGTCTCCATATGTGCCCTGTGACTTAATAGCAATCGGTTCAGGGTGTAGTCTGCCTTCCGCCCAAAGCCAGCTGGGATAGACTCCAATAACCCACCACAACCATGTTCAGGATAGATGGATTGTTTCGGTTTAACCACTAAGGCAGGCATGTCCAGAAAGAAATATCCTGATTATTTGAATCAGATGTGTTGCTGTCACTTTGTTGAACAGTGGTGGATCAATTTCAACAATTTTTTCAAAATCAGAAAAAAATATTCCAAAAATTCATTTTGACCTTATTTGAGACATTCCTGTATTTTAATGAAGGTCAAAATTGGAATAGAAGCTAATTTTATATTTTGGATTCATATATTTCTATCTGACGCGAGGGAAGAAGTAGCGAAGAAGTAACCAGTTGTCAACCTCGCTGTACATCCCTGACGTGTGCTGATAATCCATCCATTTTCCGATCCGCTTCATCCTCATAAGGGGTGCTGGAGCCTATCTCAGCCGTCTTCGGGCAGTAGGCGGGGGACACCCTGAATCGGTTGCCAGCCAATCGCAGGGCACACATAGACAAACAACCATTTGAACCCACACTCACACCTCGGGACAATTTAGTGTTTTCAATGAGCCTTCCATGCATGTTTTTGGAATATGAGGAGAAACCGGAGTACCTGGAGAAAACCCATGCAGGCCCGCGGAGAACATGCAAACTCCACACAGGAAAGCCGGAGCCGGGATCAAACCCACGACCACTGTGAGGTCGACGTGCTAACCATTGGACCACCGGGCCACCCTGTGCTGATAATCTAATAGTAAATTAAACCAAAGAATTGACCTTGCCATTTCAATGCTTTTGGAGCGGACTGTAGAGCCCTACCAATGAAAAAGAGTTGGAAAACTCTGGGTTTGAATCTTCAGTTGAACCAACATAACTGAAGTACAGTACTCCACAGAGGAAGGCCAAACCCGAGATTCAAACCCCCAACCCTCAGCCTAGTGAGATAGCCATGCTAACCACTTGGTTACACGTTATGGCAGGTGCTCTGTTTAGTAAAATATTTAGTTGTGGTCCTTTTCTCAACAACCTATCACATCTTTGACAAACTGTGTTTATCCTGAAAATGGATGACCACACATCATTTGTAATGATTTTAATTTAATCTCGCCACAACAGTAAATCATCTCCATAAACTTAATATTATCGTCATAGACTGGACCTTAAAATGATACTCATTTACAACAATGGCCTAATATTCGTGCCACATTGATTTGGCTGAAAGAAAAAGTCCGTTCGTGTTGCTGGCGGCCACCACACTTGTGCATGCAAATTACACACTCGCAAAAACACGCGTCTGGATCGTGATGTCAGTGTGAGTGTGGAGATTTTTCCACGTGCATCAAAATGCTCCATGGTTGGAGTTCAATCAGTTTTGACAAAACTTTTACGGCACGTCTGGGTGCACCCCGCAGCCACACTTGGATAAAATGTCAGCAGTGTTGCCACAAAGAGATGAAATTGAATTTTCCAAGTTGATTTCAGTTCATCATTCAGGTTGAGGGATTATTTCTTAACCTGTCTTGATCCATCTTTCCACCCATCCTTGACTTCATTGACGAACGTCTCTCCGACTCTCTTGAGTCGCCTGCCGACTTCCTCCACGCCGTCGGGCAGTCGACCTGTCTCTTCTCGGACCTGCCGCAGCGTCTGGGACCGCAAGGCCCGTTGCGAAGCGTCCCGGCCGACTATCTGAGCCTTGGTGATGGCGTAGGCTGTGATCTGCGCTGCCCTGCGGATCGGACGAGACTCCGCTAGCTTCTCGACGACGCGGAGGTTGTTGAGCAGCGACAGCAACATTCGAGACAGCATTTTTTTGGTCACCTCCGCAACGCTCGAATGAGCTGGTCGACGGTTTAGTTTATCTTAGCAGGGGAAGTGGAGCTTGACAATCCCCTGAGACAGTATATCTCTGAAATTAAAACAATGTTCTATGTTAGTTTGAGACCCGAATCAATTGGTGGACGACTATCGTAATCTTGTTCCAATCGGTGGTAACAGAGGTGACTTCAGTTCTGAAGGTGTCAGTGTCCGCCTGCCCTGTAACACGTCAGAGATCAGGTGACAAACGAGCCATGGTTGGACTTCCGGTTCTTCTTCTTTTTGTGTTATCGGGGGTTTGCAAAGTGACAATGCTGAATTACTGCCACCTATTGATCAACAATGATTACTGCGTTTGCTTATACTTAACAACAATACAGCAGGGGTCACCAACTCTTTTGAAAGTGAGCTACTTCTACGGAACTGATGAATGCGAAGGGATACCAGTTTGATAAAACTGCTAAAATTCCCTTGATTTATGTGGTTTATCTTTGTGAAGTCATCGATCATGTTAAAGAATTCTGACAATAGTTATCACAATGTTTAAACATGGTATTAAACGGTTAATATCAATAGGCGACACTTTGTTTCTGTAAATCTCTGGAAATATTAACATTTTCAAATGGTCACTACACCGGTGAGCTATTTTGAGGAAAAAAAAAAACCGCGGGCCACACCTGAGGTCGTTGGGTGTTATCTTCTCAAAGCCGAGTCGGACTGGCTGGAAAAGGCAAAACACTCCCGCTGTCATTAAGGAGACAAACAAAAAGTTTGTGTTGAGAGAGAGGAGCGATCATTCTCCTAATGTTATTCTCCAGACTTGTTGCTCTTACTTATTAAATTTGTTATAATACTGTATATGCTGTTGTAATAAGAGAGAGAGAAAGAGAGAGAGAGAGAGAGAGAGAGAGAGAGAGAGAGAGAGAGAGAGAGAGAGAGAGAGAGCGGGAAACAGCAAAAGCGTCTCCTTTTCGAGACCTGTTTCACCTGTTGCCACGAAGATAGATTAGGTTTTAGCTTTGTGTGTGTGTGTGTGTGTGTGTGTGTGTGTGTGTGCGTGTGTGTGTGTGTGTGTGTGTGTGTGTGTGTGTGTGTGTGTGAGAGAGAGAGAGAGAGAGAGCGAGAGAGAGAGAGAGAGAGAGAAAAACTTGAACCAAAAATTGTTTGTAAGGCAAGGAATGATCCTGGCCCCCAGTGAGACTTTGTGTCACTTAATTAAACATGAGCCAATCTGATTTCACACAGAGAGAGTAGATAATAATTATTCAGTGTTTTGTCTGGTTGTGTCCCGTGAGATTTTTCATCGTAAAATGGGTGCCTGGCGTCAATAAATATTTAAAAACTCGGGACTGGAAGAAAAGTACTGTACAGTACTGTATATAATTTTAATTGCAGGTCAACTCCTCTTCAAAAGGTGGCGCTGTATATGAACAGCGGAAGTCATTTCAGAAAATTGCTACTTCCGTTTCCTTCTTCATTGAACACATTCATTTATGTGCTGACTCAACTGTGTAAGCAACCGAAGGTTCAAAAACAAAGACGACTCCAGTCATGCGAGCTTTTCTACTGTTGGCGATGACGGCGCTGTCGCTCAGCCCGATGTTGGTCTGCGGATCCGAGAAGAAGAAGCTGCAGATCGGCATCAAGAAGCGAGTGGACAACTGCTCCGTGAGATCACGCAATGGAGACGTGCTAAACATGCACTACACTGGCAAGCTGGAGGACGGCACCGAGTTTGACAGCAGCATTCCCCGCGGACGACCCTTCACCTTCACACTGGGAAGCGGTCAAGTGATCAAAGGTTGGGACCAGGGCCTGCTCGGGATGTGCGAGGGAGAAAAGAGGAAGCTGGTCATCCCCGCCGAGCTGGGCTACGGAGACCGAGGAGCGCCGCCGAAGATTCCCGGGGGTGCCACTTTGATCTTTGAGGTGGAGCTGCTTAGCATCGAGAGGAGATCCGAACTTTGATGAAAGAGGGATGCTCAGCGGTCCTGGTAAGTTATCGGAACACATACCTTTCCAAGGTGGTGTCTGTAGGGGCATGGCGCTCAAATGACCTATAATTGCATATATCTTAGTTTATCTTTTAGTTTATTTTTATATCTTTGTATTTATGGGTTCAATGCATCAAAATCAACCAATCCGGTTTACTTTCACTACTTTAGAACTCCATCTGACTGCCTATTGATCCCACAAATCATTCTGTTACAGAAACAAAAATTAACCTTGACTGAGTTGATGACGAAATTTTGTTCATTTTAATTCTGATGTTCATGGTAACCTTAAACCACATCGATTGACTATTTTTCCATCAACTGGTTCAACAATCACATTTTGGTAGTTAAATACTCAAGTGTTGAGTTGATCCTGCTTTTTTGTCTTAAATTACCGTGGTCACTGAAAATCATGTTCATGTATAATGATCACCCCATTACTGTATAACAGACACACAATTGTCTCTGCATTTCATCATTGTATATTTTTTTAAACAACCAACTGAATTTTAAATCAGAGGTTAGAAAATAGTGCCAACTAAATATAAATGTTGTTGTTCAATTTAAGTTGAGAAGGTATTTGGTGAAAGAAATGCTTGCGAGATCTCTGTAAAGTGAAAACAATCTAACGTACAGAATGATGTGATGCCCCCAAATGAAAACAAATCCACAAACAACCATGTAGACACTGTTTTATTTAGCGGGGGACTAAAGTGGTTTTACTGTGCCTACAGAAAGTGACTTTGTCATCATGGGACAAAAATGAATACAATTTTGGAATAAGGCTGTAATATAATAAAGTCGTATTGTATTCTACCACTGATCACTTTAGCTCTGTTTGATACTTTGCACATTGTCTCACAGTTGTCACTGGGTGGTACCACCGCACAACGGTACAATTACGTTACGGAATGTCCTTCCTTACTGATTTGTCATGTCCTTGTTTATGATGATACTAGTTCAGCATGTCCTACCGGAGACAAATTCCTTGTGTGTTCTTCATACTTGGCCAATAAAGATGATTCTGATTCTGAAGTTGGATTATGTGAAGAATTTATGGATACATTGTATGTGCCTCATGATGAATTGATGTAACTATGGCATACAAAATTATAACCAGTGGATTGTTCAGTAACCTAATGCTGCTTCTTTCCATTTCTAGGTGATGCTCCTTGTGATTGGAGACCACGTGGGACATCAGTGAAGAAGACAACATGACAAATTTGGGATGGGACTCTTCTAGCAGCAGAGCTACTACTGATGCATAATGTCCTGTTTTACAGGATCCAGGTTGCTGAAATAAGAACTAAAACACAACAATAAAGACAAACACTGCAGCATTCCAAATAAATACACATTTTTATTTTTCTGTTATTAGCAGGAATATTTGTCTTTTTTTAAGTACAAACAGGTAGGGAGATGATTCCACTTACTGTGACAATCGGCAACAAATCATATCAGATGTTGACTTTATTTGTAAACTGATCATAAAAAAATATGTTTGGGAAAACATTTTTTTTTTGGTTTGGTTATAAAATCCACAATATTTCAAGTAACTCTTGACGTGTGTGCTCGAAGCCAGTTGTAGACCACTCATTGTTTTCTATGCTGACTGACCGACAATTGGGTGGTTTCAGCATGGCATCGTTGTTGTTGTTAAGGCCAAAATGTGATTGCCAATTAATCATCTTCAAGCTATAATCGTCAACCCCAAGCATGTACATACAGCGATGGGCATTTTTTTTCTTTTTTCTTTTTTTTTGCAAAGGTGCCACACCAGAAACTAATGCTAGCTGAGGGCCAAGTTAACATGCTAACCTCAACATGCTAAATTGTTACATGCTTAGATATGGTATTATTATAAATAGGAAATACAATATTTAAACAGTGGCCCAGTGGTTAGAACGTCAACTTCACAGTGCAGAGGTTCAATTCCAGCTCTGGCCTCCCTGTGTGGAGTTTGCATGTTCTCCCCGGGCCTGCGTGGGTTTTCTCCGGGTACTCCGGTTTCCTCCCACATTCCAAAAACATGCATGGCAGGCTGATTGAACAATCTATTGTCCCTAGGTGTGAGTGTGGGCGCGGATGGTTGTTCATCTCTGTGTGCCCTGCGATTGGCTAGCAACCGATTCAGGGTGTGTCCCGCCTACTGCCCAAAGACAGCTGGTATAGGCTCCAAAATGAATGAAAGAATATTTAAACAGAATTATCCTCCTGACTACCAAGAAAAAAAATGTTGTCCAATCACATTTATTTTGAAATTCCCCAATCTATGTGAAGAATTGGACTACTCCAAAAGAAATTTTTGAAATTCCACTACAGAGGACATTTTTTAAACACTTGAATACTAGGCTCAAATACACTTAAAACAACACTTTAACGTGTTCATAAGAGTCTTATAAATAAAATGCCAACAGCATTTCAAGACAAAATGTGTTTGATAAAAAGTATTACTTTTCCTCTTCCCATAAAAAGTGCTTGCACTGAGGGAAGCCATTTTCTTCTACAGTATTGGGAAGTCAAAGTAACAAAGCCCCACCCCCCACAAATTTGGTATCATTGGAAAGCACTGAATGTCTTTAGAGCACAAAATGAGTTAATGCGGTTGGATGCACTGGGTGGGAGATATTTAGGTTCACAAATGTCCTCTACAGAGGACAAATTTGAACTACTGGTAGTCAGGAGGATAAAAGGACTTATTAAAATGACATCTTTCGACTTCCCAAATTACATTTTGTGCACTAAAGGTCATGATTCAAATATATAAATAAGTGGAACGTGGAACATTTCAGTTTTATACATCTATCCATTTTCATCGGCGTTTACCCTGAACAGGCTTGGGGGGCGGGAGGGCGCTAGAGCCGAATCACCGCTGACTTCGGGTGGAAGGCAGACTCCACCTAAAACTGGTCGCCTGTCAGTCCTAGGGCACATATGGAGCCAGACAACCATTCACACCCACATCCGCACCCTTAACGAGTGGGAACCTAAGTCAGTCGAGTGTACCACTACATCAATTGTTGACTCAGTGATATACGGTGAGAAAATAATACACCCAATATGTACAGCCTATGATATTTGCATGGAACACAATGCCAAACTCAGGTCCATGAGGGCTGCTGTCTTTCATGTTTGAGATGTTTCCAACATACCTGATTCAAATGTGATTAGGATCGTCATCAAGCTCCTGCAGAGCTTGCTGACACTTCTTGCGGACCAGAGTTTGACACGTGTGGCAGCCGTACAGTATTATCACGCCAAATCCTCTATCTTCCACTGTGCAGGAAGTAGAATGTTGCTTACATGAGGACCACTGTTTTCATTTTTGCAATTTGCCATTTTGGAAAAATAGTTGCAAGTGCTAGATTGGTCGGAAAACTCACTAAATATAGCGAAAACGTTGCGAGTTTGGCAACAGTGCTGACTCAAATTGCAGGTCTTGCTTGTTACCTTGTTTAACTCACATCCACACTTGTGTACACTAATAAAACCACAATTTTCAAAATAAAAGCACTGCATATTTTACATTTTACTTTGACTTGATGGTCACTGTGAGGGCTCGTCAGAGCCTCTGGGCAGGTCGGATTTGGCCCCTGGGCTGTACTTATGGTCTGTTTGTCCTTTATTTAACCCAGTGGTCTCAATTGAGCTTGATCTCCTGCAACATGTAGTATGTCCAAGATAGCAACTACTTTTAGACAACATTAAATGAACATAGGGTAAATAAAATACAATACAATGACAGATACCAAAGGGATCATTTTAAAATGAGCTGGTCAGGGTTTTAAAAGGAAACAAGTCCTCAAATTTTACGTCTTTCTGAAGGTTTTGAAGGCTATTCAGGAAAGTGAAACAGCATGCAGTAGCCACAGACGTCAAAAAATACATTCCTTTTTTAGGCCCGTGTTATGAAGCACGTATTTACCTGTAAATATGACTATATAAGACTAACATATGAAAATATGTCTGTGTGATCAAGTGGAGTTGTTGCGCACGGACGTGTTTAAACGGCGGACTCATTTACCGGAAACGTAGTACGAAACTAACGAAGAAGTAGCATCTCGCCTATCTGTTTTATCCGCAATGTCTGTGAAATTGAATGCTCTAAACAGCGACTCTTACACAGATATCGGTTCATACAGAGATCAACATTTTAAGGTAAGACACAATGCTAACTGGCCGATATGTTTACGTGACACACTGACATCTTGGTCGACAAAGCTAGCAAATTGCAGAAAACGGTTTGTCCAGGAAGGAAATCTCCGGAACATTTGCGTTGCTTATAGAGTCATACATTATTTAGACCAATTGTTAGATGCAGCTATAAACTTAACGTCCTGTCTGTTAGTTACCTATATACCGTATGAAGCTAAACGTATCAAAATACCATAAGAATAGACACTGCAATTGGTGACCACGGTCAAACTAGCCGTGCTTTACGGTAATCTGCCACCAGTGAGCAGTGTTGGCCACCTTCAAAGTAAAAGATCTGCGACTAGTGCATGCCCCTCAGTAGTTTGCATTTAAAATAATGTTATAAAATAACTTGGTCTCAATAATGTTATAAAATAAATGGACTCAGAATAGCACCAAAAAGCGTTCTGAAGTTGTTATAGAAACAAAAGTTAATGTTGACACGACACCAATGACTAAAATTACACCCGACTTGAAAAAAAGAAAAAAAAAAGATTAATAAATAAATATTCGTTATCCCGGAACCAGACCAGGTGTAGGGAACACTTGGCCACCCCAGGTTTCCAACCATTGTATTTTCATTACGATCTGATGTTGCTTTTCAAAATAAAAACCTTAACAATCTTACGTTTTCAACTATACATCTGAATTATTTTTTTTAACTATGAAAAAAATCTGTTTTCGTTATCACGCATATTTTTTAATTCAGGTTTATCGTCAAAAATGTCAGATTTCCGAGCCTCTTATTTTGAAATGTAACATAAAATATTGATAGGTATTTGGGTTGGATACCTGGGGTGCCCAAGTGTTCCCTTGACCTGATCTGGTTGCGGGACAGCGAAAATGTTTTATGTTTTAATGTTTTGTTTTGTTTTTTTTAAATTCAGGTGTATAGTGAAAATGTCAGCTTTCAGCTGCCTTTTATTTTGGAATGCAACATTAGCTCTTGAAGCCAACACTGTGGTTTGATGCCTGGGGTGGTCTAATGTTCCCTCAACCTGCTCTGGTTGTGGGATAACGAAAACTATAATAAAATTATATAAATAGTTGTTGTTGTTGTTTTTTTTTAATCTCAGGTCTGTACTGTAGTTCATAATTTCAGATTTCAGAGCCCTTTTATTTTGAAATGTAACATCAGATCTTAATGAAAGTATTATGGCTGGATACCCCGGCTAGCCAACTGTGCTCTTGACCTGGTCTGATTGCAGGATAACGGCAACTGAATTTTGAGCAGATTTTTTAAAACCAGGTGTAATGTTAGTCATTGATGTAGAATTAACATTAACTTTTGTTTCTATCTCAACTTCAAAACGCTTCTTGGTGCTATTCTGAGACTATTTTCATTCTCTCTGGGTAAACTCATCGTTGCTTGATCGCTGGGAAGTTATTTTTTTTTCAAATCCAAACCACTGACGTGCGAGCTTTGATTTTAAAGGTGGCCAACGCCGCTCGCTGGCAGCAGATTACCGTAATGCAAAGTATTAACAATCGCTGTGGCGGCTGGCTTGACTTCAATTTTGTGAGTGGAGGCTGACCTGACTGCAGTAATTGATGCCGGTAAATGCTCAAATGAGTAATTGAGAACTTCGGTGTAGTATTGCTTTTAACAACGCCGTTTATCTTACTCGCCAGCTACCTTGATGGTGACTTTTGCTGGTCTTTGTGAACATGTTCTTGTGTTTCCAGGGTAAGTGTCATATACAAGAAAAGCTGCTGAAGGCAAGCCACACGTTATATGTGGGGAACCTTTCCTTCTACACCACAGAGGAGCAGGTAAGAGACACTGAACTATTTAAATAGATTAATCTGTAATGTTAGTTGAGAAGATGTTACATGGTTGTGGTACAGCTTTCCAGAAGAGCATGCAAAAATATTTTGCAACCATTTTCTTTCGCTTCCAAACAGGTTCACGAGCTTTTTTCTAAAAGTGGAGATGTAAAGCGTATCATCATTGGTCTGGATAAAGTCAAGAAGACAGCCTGTGGCTTCTGCTTCGTCGAGTATCCTTTTTACTGTGTTTACTGTTTTAACATGTGCCTGGACACACCTCAGAACGAACTGAAATATTGTCACACACACAGAAGAGTATGCAAAAGACCTTAACCCCAGCTTGTGTAGATACTATACTAGGGCAGATGCAGAACATGCTATGCGCTTCATAAATGGCACACGTCTCGATGACCGCATGATCAGGACGGACTGGGACACTGGCTTTAAGGAGGGACGACAGTATGGTCGTGGAAAGTCTGGAGGACAGGTAGATTGCTTGGTACCCCGAGTAGTTGTCACTGTATGCTGTTCTCCATTGGGTGTGAAGGCTAAAAGTGTCTGCGCTGCTTGATTTTTGACAGCAAGGGCATGTCTCCAACCAAAAAAAAAGTTGCATGACTGGAAATTAGGAAAGACATGACTACACAAACAATTTTTTTTCAGTGTAGCATGTGTGAGAATTATCTGCTCCATGTTGAAATTGTACATACCCACTGAAGGAATAGGCACAATTGGAAAAAAATGCCTGTCATAGTGTAATAAGTTAACCACTTTTAATGTTAAGATGTCAAACCAATAGTCTGTTTCAACTTGAGTCACATGTAGGTGTAATGTGAAAGGGATCTGTGTCACGTTTGCCTCATGCTAGCCCCTTAAAACAATAAATGTATCCCACGTTTAAAAACTTGACTAATGTAAAACATAACAAGCTCTTAGATTGTAAGTGACATTGTACAAAAAGCTGTACTTTATATTTTATTAATGCTGTTCTCTTAACTGGCCTTTTTGAAGCCCATCCTTATTTTTGAACAGAAGTGAAATCACATGTCAAAGCTTTTTCAGCCCGCACCAAACTCAGTGCTTTGCTTTTTATCTGCATACATGAATCGTGATTGCAACTAATTCTCTGCAATATATTTGGCTGGACAGAAGAACCTTGAATGTACTGAAAGTCTTTTCTCATGTTTCAGTGATTCTTTTTGGCTCTTTCTGTGTAGGTAAGGGATGAGTACAGGCAGGACTACGACCCAGCCAGAGGTGGATATGGAAAGTTGGCTCAACAGCACAGAGGGCCACAATAACTTTGAAATAATCTGTCTTGATGCTTCATGGATATTTTTTTCCCCCTCAACACTGCCTCTTGAGCCATCATCACCTTCAAGGTAGTCCTTATTTCTGACATAGCAATGAAGAGTCGTGGTGTTGAGTGTATCACCCTCATTTTATTTATCTGCAGGATGTACGGAAAGCAAGCATGCCATTTTAGCGCCCCCCCCCCCAAAAAAAAAACCTCTTCAGATGAATGGAAATGTCTCAAATTGTGTATACTTTAGTTTGTTTTTAATAAAGTGCTAACTTTCTACCTCTGCCAATGCCGATTAATTGTGTATTTGGTGATCAGTCAATAGGAATGACCAAAATCAAGTGACAGAATCACATTTTCGTGAAGTTTTTTTGTCGATGTTATAATGTCTGAACAACAAGGAACATTTGATTTCTCTCTCTGATGGTGTCAATCAAAAATGAGCATTTGTTCTGGCACCTTCTGTGATTGTCTTCTATAAAGCAGTGGTACCAAATGTGACTGACTCGTAATCAGTGGCGTACCCTTTCGAATGTATATTTTTCTGAAATGTACACAAGAGGGCACAAGAGGACAACATGAAGCAGTCAGACTGAATAGTTTTCTGAAGTAGGATAAGATGATAACATCTCCCCTGCCACTGGATGTAATTTAAAAACTGATAGCAATGCTGGTTTCGGAGATCTCTGGGTTTGAAATTCCACTTCAGTTTTCTCTCCTAGATCTTCACAGTTAGCAAAAGTTTAATATCGCCAACACTCACAGCTCATCTACTTGCAATCAATGACCATTTAATTAAAATAAGTCCTCATCCAATTTGCTGCAATTATATGGTATGAGGGTGCACAGAGGAAAATGTAGTAGCATTCCGACCATCCTGATTTCACGTTCCTTTCATCTTTAACTCAGAATTCAACATGTATTAGATTGCTTCGCTGCACCAATCCACTTAGTCAGAGGGAAGTTCACCTGTTCTACTTTTGCTCAACTTTTAAGTTCGTTGAAAGTTGAATCAGGGGATGTTTTTGGCGCTCTGTCCAGAAGGGGTTGATGGCCAAATGTGTGCGCAAAAAAGATAGCTCAGAAAGAAAGCAGTTATTCAATGCCTGTAAAAACAAACAAAATACAAACCAAAAATTTAAGAAACATAAAAATAAATGAATAAATATGAGGGTTTGCATGTAGCAAAAAGTATTTTTAGAAATAGACAAACTGACCCAGATTACTGACAAGGACAGGAAATTAATATGTGAAGTATGTGGTTGATGTGGGTCTATAACAAGCAAAAGAAATAACTCCGCAGCTACATGGCAGAAATTTGTAGAGGACTGTGGAGATAGGGCCAGAAACACCCTGTCCCTGGGACCTGTAGATTAAAGAGGAAAATTCTGATACTGTAAACAGAAACAGGAATAAAACAAACTGATGGGAATGGAAATTATATCTTAACCATAAAGAATAGAATTCAAGTAATTGTTGAACCATCCATCAATCCATTTTCTGAGCCGCTTATCCTCACAAGGGTCATCGGGAGTGCTGGAGGCTTTCCCAGCTGTCTTTGGGCAGTAGGCAGGGGACACCCTGAACTGGTTGCCAGCCAGTCGCAGGGCACACATCGACAAACAACCATACGCGCTCACATTCACACCGAGGGACAAGTTAGAGTGTTCCATTAACCTGTCATGCATGTTTTTGGAATCTGGGAAGGAATCGGAGTACCCAGAGAAAACCCACACAAGCACGGGGAGAACATGCAAACTCCACATAGGAAGGCCGGAGCCAGAATCAAACCCTGCACCTCTGCACTGTGAGGCAGACGTGCTAACCAGTCGTTCACCGGATCGCCAATTGTTGAACCATTAACTGATGTGTGACAAAAGGAAAGTTGCTGAAGTTTATCTATCTAAAGTTGGAGACAAATATCTCTTCAGCCAAATACAGGCCAGTCACCTTGTTATCGCAATTTTCAAAGAAATATGTGAGAGGGGAGGAATAAGGGGGGGGGGGGGACTATTGTAGAGATTGGACAATTTCATCGAAAAACCCAAAATGGGGTTGAGAATGATTTTAGATCAAATTGATCAACCTATGTGGCATAATGGAGTTAATAGAGGAGATCACTGGATGAATAGAAAACAAAAAACTATGCAGTGGCAATTTTCATTGACTTAAAAAAGCCTTTGATACAATTGCTCATGATAGTTTACTCATAAAGATGATCTTGACTGGCTAAGAATCTACAATAGTTATAGAATACAATTTGGACAAGTCAAAAACAATTCTTTATTTGACATCAGCATAAATTGAGCGTTAATAACAATAAGAAAAACATCTCAGAACTTTGATGTTTGTGCTTTTCTTCTCTCTCCAAAGAAAATGTTGATCAAAACGCTGTCTATGTTATCATTCTTAACTCATTTACACTGTCAAAACGACTATCCAAGAAAAAAATGGTATGCAATTCCCCATTGATCCAGCAGGAGGTACTACAGGCCATGTCTGAAAATTAATAGTTGACCCGGGAAGAGTGGTGTTGAATTCTATCTGGAATTTGCTGAAACTTTGTCACGTTTTTTTATTTCATGCCTTTAATGAAAGCAAGGCAAAAGAGAGAGAGCTTCTAGCTGCCATGTCACAGACCTGAAAGAACCTAATTCCAAACTGCTTGCTTTGATTTTTGTGAAACAATTTAAAAAGATCTTCCATGCAATTATTGATGAAAACAAATCAGGATTCCTGACTAAAAGGCATATCTCCAACAACATAAGAACTGTGTTGGACCTCGTCGATTATTCTGATCTGACTGAAGAGGACAGCCTTATATTATTCCTTGATTGCTTTCAAGCTTTCAGCACGGGAGAGCATATTTGTTTTTGACTATCATACATGGCAATTTTCCGCGGATTCGCGGAAATCCGCCGTTTTATTTCTTAAATTGATCATTTTTGTGAATCGTCTAAATCCGTTGAGAAAATTTTAGGGGCGGTCAGGTACCTTATCGTCGAGTTTTCACGAGCTCTCCCGAACAGTCTCTCCGTTTTCCGTTTGTAAACAGCCCTGCGATTGGACGTGTATGAAAGCTTCAACTAATCAGATCACTGAAGGCATTATTTGTTGCGGAAGTCTTAGCTCGATTATAAACGGCCCAGCGATTGGTTAACTACAAGCGATTGGACCAATCAAATTGCATGTAACATATTGTTTTACCTGATTCATGGCGGCCTGTTCGTCTCGCAAATTCATTGTTCTGGGATCGTTTTGAGCGGAATTATGAAAATTTTGACGAAAGATCAGGAGTCTTTAATCCTAGAAATTGACTCAAATGTCAAGAATAAATTCCGATTGGACTGGCTTGACAGAAAAATCACTGTAAAGGTTAAAATTGGTTCCAAGTT